TCATGCAAAGATAGGTATTTCTGTAAGAAAATAGCTAGATAAAAAAGGAAATGGAAAGCACTAATCCATCTGGTGGGGCTCTCCTGCCCTGGACAGCTGCATGGTCCCTCACACAGCCAGGGAGAAGAGACCCTCTGGCTTTTTAGCCTACTCAGGAATGCAAATCACTCATGATGTGGTACAGTTTTCCCACAATGCCCTGCTTCTATCAGACTAGCCAGACCTGTCCCCTCAGAGTGTGGCATGACCTACAGACCTCTCGCCCAGCACAGGAGACGTCCTAGAAAAAGCTGCTTTGACCTATACTGACTACAGCGAAGGGCGGCAGGGAGACAGTTTGAGCTGAGCTTACAGGGGAAAGAAACAGCTTCCTTTCCTCCTATTGCAACTCTGTCCAGCACACCTGGAGAGACAGTGTGTCATTTGCGTCTCAGAAATCCTGTGGCCAGGAGGCTGACTGGCAAGTGCTCACAGCTTTGATGTAGCCTGCGATGAAAAATGGTGTTGAACTAGAATGTGCAAAAGCAGCCAGTATTTGGAGACAAATACATGTCACTGAGTGAAAAGCAAACTGTGCAAAAGGCAGAAGAGAAGGGGGTAGCCCACCAGTCAGACTTGAGCTCAGCTTCTGACCATCCGGCATGGGAGGGATGGGATCTGGGTGGGTGGTGAGCTTATCTGCACAAATACACACGCCAGTGGCAGGAAGCTTCTCTGTTGCATCCTGCCCTGCACAGGAGCAGGAAGTCTAGCACGCGGGCTGCGAGCTTCAGTGGCAACGAGACCGGGAGCAGGGACATGGCTGTTGGAGGAAAGCAGGCCACCTATTCGAACTTCCCAGCAGAACTCAGCCATTTCCTAAAGGTGGCACTAAGGGAAATGAAGCCCAGTTAGGCCTAGGAAACTGCCCCTTCCCATGAATGATGCCTTCAAAGAACCTCAGCTCGGTCTGGCACCCTACTAAGAAGCAGACATGTAGCTGTCACATTGGGCAGAAGGTTCTTGCCCTTGCTTATTAGGACCTTTACATACAAACAGGACCACTGGGGCTTAAGCATCCATGGGCTGCTTCTTGTTCCCCAGATTCTTCTGTGTGTGACATCACAGTGGTTGCTATGGAGATGATCATGATGTCACACAGAGGGTTCTCACTACTTCTGGGGAATAAACACTAATGAGCCTGCTTTCATGCAAACATCCCTTGTAGGAGACAGCATGGAGGTGACTTCTAGAGCTGCCGGACTCGCAGAGTGTTATTCAGAGCTCTCAGCTGGTCTGTACGGAGAAGGAATGGGCTTGCACTGCACAGCCTCTGGTTGGCGCATCCGCATTTTCTATGTTCCTCAATGGCTCCTCCGCTGAGAGGGGGCAGCTAAGTGAGGTCAGCTGTGCAGGGGCAGATGCAATGCCCTCAGAGGGCTCAACCTGAGAGCTACAAAACCAGAAAGGGACTCTTTTGCCACCTGGAGTCTGATTGTTCAAACCCAGGACTGCCTCTAGCTGGGGTTGCTCTGCAGAGCACTCTCACTGGGGTAATGATACTGTGCGTAGCGTGGGAATTGCTATTGTCAGTTGTACAGGATAGCTGCTTAGGACTAATGCTCACTCGGGTGGAACTTTGTTGCTGAAAATGGCTAGTGGGAAGGGATTGCCGGTCTGAGCCAAGCTGCTCAGAAATCACACAGCGCTTAAGAAGTTCAGGAAAGCCTTCCCCACTGGTCACTGAACGTTTGTTTCAATGGACATTTTTGATGGAGCTAATTAATACACTGGCATTTCAAAGGAGCTGATTGCCATAGTACTTGAGCACCAGACACAAGAAGCTGAAGAATTCCCCTGTATTTGGCACTGGTGAGACCACACCTGGAGAATTGCGTCCAGTTTTGGGCCCCCCACTACAGAAGGGATGTGGAAAAATTGGAGAGAGTCCAGCGGAGGGCAACGAAAATGATCAGGGGGCTGGGGCACATGACTTATGAGGGGAGTCTGAAGGAACTGGGCTTGTTTAGTCTGCAGAAGAGTGAGTGGAGATTTGATAGTAGCCTTCAACTACCTGAAGGGGGGTTCCAAAGAGGATGGAGCTCGGCTGTTCTCAGTGGTGGCAGATGACAGAACAAGGAGCAATGGTCTCAAGTTGCAGTGGGGGAGGTCTAGGTTGGATATTAGGAAAAACGATTTCACTAGGAAGGTGGTGAAGCACTGGAATGGGTTACCTAGGGAGGTGGTGGAATCTCCATCCTTAGAGATTTTTAAGGCCCGGCTTGACAAGGCCTGGCTGGGATGATTTAATGGGGTTGGTCCTGCTCTGAGCAAGGGACTGGACTAGATTACCTCCTGAGGTCTCTTCCAAGGGAAGACCCTGAACTCTTTGCTAAAGGGATGCTGAACCAGAGACTGCAGCTGGTGCAGGGCCTGCGCATGGAGATTGACGTGACACAGGGACACCCACAAGAATCACCCATCTTTCTCCAGATGGCATTGGTCATCATCTGACAGAGGCAGGATGCAGAGAAAGTGATGGGAACACCTCAAGGACCTGGACTGTGCCCCAAAGTGACACACCCGAAAGGGCGGAAGCTTCTCAGAATTTATCTAAACTACCTTGAACCTAGTGAGTCTGCAAAGTTAGGCTGGATGACTCACAAGAACCAGCTTCCTCAGGAGATTTCTGGTCTTCTTTGCTTTGCTGGGCTGGAGATGCTGTCAGGACAATGCTCCTCTCCATTCTTCAACACCTCTGTTTCGGGGCAGAATGCAGGCTGCCAAGCAAGTGTGGAAAGCCCTCAAAAGGTTTGGTTCAAGTTTTGGGCAAAGGTTCAAGTCAGTCTATTTTATTCAAACTGGTTTCTCCATCTGTGGTGTCCCAGTAGGATAGAAATACCAATCGTCTGAATGAGGAATGCTCTCCGGGCACATCTCGAGAATGTGTTGATGGTCATCAGTTGTAGGGGGTAGAAGCTCCATGAGGACCATTGAGGCAGGTCTTTAATCTGGATTGAGGCAAAGGGGTTTTCCATTGTGTTTGTGAGTGATATTTAGTAAGAGACTTTGCGAGACAATGCAGAAGACACTGAGAGTGGAGGTCTGGGTGTGGATAGATGAAAGCTGCTTCTGTCCTTGAAATGGTTTGGCCAGTCTCCAGGCCCCACCTTGTTGCCAAAGCTGGCTGGGAGGGTGAGCTCATCCAGGTCTTCTTGGTTCCTGTTCTTTGCAGTGATGCTGAGAAATCCACTCTGGACATTGTGAGTCTGTGGCCTCACCCACCAGTTTGCTACAGTCACGCTCCTTGCAAGGTGGAGTCCGCAATCAGCAAGGGGGGGTTACAGGGAGCGGTCAGCTGCTGTGTCCCTGGACTGGTGTACAGCACCCTGGGGGAAGGGAGACTGGAAATGGGGCCTTAACCTCCAGCGTGGCCAATGGAGGCTCTTCGAGCCTCTCCCAACGAGGCAAGGGCACTAGCTGAAACAGGGCAGAGAACGGCAACTTGCCCGGTCAGGGGATTTCTGGGAGGGCCTAACGTCAGGGATCTCCTTGTGCACTGCCATATACAACTCACAATGAAATGCTGCCTTCCTGCCCCCTTCACCCAGCTCACAGGAGAGAGGAGGGGCCCTGCAGTGTCTGTGTGCACATGTCAGGAAGGGACCTGGTGCCTGCTGTATGTGTGCGTAGGCACCTGTGCCAGGTCAGGGCTCTGCAGTGTGTGTGTGCATGTGTGAGAAGTGCAGCACCAGCCCTGTGCTCGCACACACAGCGTGTGTTTCTCACTGCCCTGCTGGGGGAGTGGCTGGTCAGGGAGATGCTGCCTGGCCACACCCGGATTAGCAGAGCAGACGGGGGCACTGGAGGATCCTGACATTCAGTCCCTTGAGGAAGGTGAGTTCCTGAGCATATTTACCACTATGGGACACGGGTTCTGTGGCACTGGGACTGTTTCTATCGTCTCTGCTCCTCTCCCACAAGGGCCATTGGGCCACACTCTTCTCTGAGTGCCACGCATGGAGCCCACTGGCTTCACTAGCATAGCACATGTAGGAGAGAACAGAATGTGGCCCACCCGTCCCAAGTCCTGGGTAGGTCCCTGAGGATGGCTCTCAGCTGGTGGCTGGGGGAGGGGGCTCACGAGGCTACAGGCACCCAGCAAGCTGTGTACGACTGTGGCTTGGGGACACAGACCCACACTAGTTTTAATCTAGCGAGGGTGGGTAACGAGAAATGAAGCTAACTGGAGTATGGACCCAGCGTCCTGGGAGGGCTTTACTTGGGTGGCTAGCCCATGTCGAAGCCTGTGCTGCCATCATTACTCATGCTAGCTAGACTGACGCTAACAGGGGCATGCAACCTCTGCTACCCCTTCGCTTGCTGTGTCGACATCCTGTACATCCAGTCTGCCTGGGCAGGGCTCTGGGGCAGCAGCTCATGCTTTGGGAGCAGAGCAGAGCACCCTGCAGAGGGATAGCTCAGTGGTTTGAGCATTGGCCTACTAAACCCAGGGTTGTGAGCTCACTCCTTGAGGGGGCCATTTAGGGATCTGGGGCAAAAATCTGTCTGGGCATTGGTCCTGCTTTGAGCAGGGGGTTGGACTAGATGATCTCCTGAGGTCCCTTCCAACCCTGCTATTCTATGAGCTGCCAGGCCACAGGCTGCCTCAGGGACTGCAAGTTTTGCTCCGGAACTGCTGCAAAATGCTGATTTCACTGGCTCCTCACACTGCTGGGGAGCAATCTGGGCACACAGCCATGGCCACGGCACTGCACCAATCAGCCACGTCTGGGGCCCAACTGTGCAGGAGCCTTGAGGGGAAAATGTGTGAAACCCGGCACGGTGTGGAGAGGGGGGGCTCTGCACACAGACAGGCGGCTGCACACATTCAACACGAGGGAAGCAGCCCAGTGGCTGGGCCTGACTCAGTCAGACCATGGGGAAGCGTTGCCGGCAGCCGTAGGCGGGCCAGGCTGGGTTTGCAGGAGCCTTGCCAAGGAAGCAGGCTGAGTCCGAGGCATGGGGAGGGTGGCTGCAGAAGCTCTGATGCGGGTCAGCCTTTATTTCCTGTAGGTCGCTGAGGAAAGCGCAGCAAGGGTCCATAATAAGGCGTATCGCATCAGCTTAAGGTGCTAGGTGCGCTGTTGGTACCGAGTAGCAGAGCTGGCTTTGATGGCTGGGGTTTGATGTAAACATTTCTGGTCTGAGTGGGGCGGGAGCTGGAGGGGAATGTGGTGGCTAGTGGGAGTCCTTCATCTGCCTCTGGATCTTCTGCAGCATCTCCTGCATCCTCCGCAACTGAAATGGAAGAAACACACGTGAGGGCCAGCTCCCCGCAGCCCCTTGCCTGGGCACTCAGCATTCTGCTTCGGAGACTGGGACTGCAGCGCTGTGAGCTTCCCCAGGGCAGTGCCAGCTGGGACACAACCGCTGTGCTCCCTTGGGCCAGCCAGTGGGAGTTACACACAGGAGACTCGTCCTCTAGGCAAAGCCATGGGAATACAGAGAACGAGGTTTCTCCTGGGAACTCCAGCAGCAGGAGTTAATTAGAGCAATGCAGCGAGGAAGGAGGGGCTGGTGAGGCAGAAGGGGTCCAGGCCAGGTTTGGCTTTAGCTCATATCTTCAGTCCTGACTGGCAGAAGGCAGCAGGTCCCTGGAATGTGCAGAGGACGCCAGCCTCGGGGTGTTCCAGTGCCAGCGAGAGCAGCAAAATGGGCCGGTTAGCACCATGGACAGAGCAAACTCGACCTTCAAAGGATGCAGCTAATTGCTCTGGGGGAAAAGAACCCAAAGCCCAGATCTGCGCAAGGGAGACCCAGGGAGGTGGTAATGGCTGCAGGAGGCCAAAGGGCACAGGACAGCTTTGCACTGTGGATGGAGCTGGACTCTGTTAGCTCCTCCAGTGGGAGGGGAGTGGAAATATGCAAAGCGGGGAGTGTGTCAGGCCCTGCTGCAGGCTGCCTGTGCTGCCACGGAGAGCGGAGAGCGAGGGGACCAGAGCCCAGCACAGCTGCATGGAGAGAGTGCAGCTCTCAGTTCTAGCCAGGCCTCCCACATGCGGCAGTGGCTCTGGTGCGGCCCCTGGCAGGAGACACAGGCCCCGACCCCGGCACTCACCTCTTCGTCCTTCTCCCGAATGAGTTTCTCTGTTTCAGAGTCCGGCACTGCTGGGATAGCTGGGATGGGGAAATCTGTCCCGCTTTCCCGCGTCAGTTTGCTGGGAGGCAAGAAACACACGTGTAGTTAGCACGGCCCCAGTGCGCTGGAGAGGCCAGGCCAGCCGGGCAGGGGGCATTCAGAGTGACGGCACGAGGGCAGTGGAACCGCGGGAGACTGTGCCCCATGAGCTGCACCTTCCAGTCCCTGCGAGACTGTGCACCAGTGGTACCAGCACCAGGGAAACTGGACCGGGCCTCAGGCTCTGGTGCCCTGTGCCTCGTGTCCGTGTTTGCAAAGGGGAAGTGGGGACAGAGCAGCACCACGCTCACAGGTCGGCGTGTCACACCCAACCTGCACTAGGGAACGCGACCCCACAGACAGCAGACAAGGCAGACTCAGGCCGCGGCTGCGAAGGCTCCTCACAGTTGCTCTGGTGTCTGTGCTGTCCATGGTCACACACTGCCAGGCCTGTCTCCTTCTGGGGAGCATGCAGGGCCAGGGCAGCCCACATGCTCATTCACTCTCTGGCCTGAAGGGGAAGTGAGCAGGGCCTGCTCCCTTCCGCAGAACTCCTGCCCCCCAATGGTCATGGTGCACAGGTGACTTCCCATCACCAGAGACAGGCCCACAGTAGGATCTTGCTGGAGAATTGGCAGATCAGAGAAAATCCAAATGCACAGAGGGATGGATTTACCACAGAGCCCAGAGCTGGGGGAGGGGAGTGACAGAACAGGCCAAAGTTCCTAATTCCCCCCGGGGTGGGGCCCACACTCAACACCCAAGCAGCTCCCCTTTGCCACTCAAAGCCCGGCCAAAGCACCAGATCTTGGAGACGGGGAAGCCCACTGGTAGGGCCCCAGTGCCTCCTCCCTCTCCTCTCACCTGTGGTGACCTGCAGATAAGCACACTGGGTCCGTGAGCACTGGGGCTTCTTTCCGAGAAGTCAAGCCCCAGCAAACTGCACACACAAGAGGGACTGACACTGTGCCCATCACCTTGGTATTTGAGTGTCTTCCAGAGAGGCATTCATGACCTGACTGGCCCCGGGCCCCTTCCTGCTGCTGTGCAGTGCTGAGTTTCAATTGGGGATGGCAGGCTGAAGCAGTGCACCTCAACTTGGAGCAGGACGGGGCGAGATTTCTGGAGGTTCTCGGTCCCGGTGGAAGCGAGTTCCATAGTCCCAGCCTGGCCCCTGAGAAAGCTCTGTCCCCTGCGCAAGTGAGCTACCTCCATGCCACTGGCTGCCAGTGCTGCAGGTTCCACTCCTGCTGCTGAGGGGCCTGCCAGACAGGCTCTGGGGCTACTGCTTGACCCCATTTGAATGTATGGGGATGTTCCATTCCCCACCCGAGAAGGCCCAGGCACACAGGCTCTGTGGTCACATCCAGCTACCCAGAGAGGATGCTAACGCGTCCTCGGATCACGGTGCTCAGGAACAGTCCAGCTGGCAAGTGCAGCCTGGCCACTTCATGGCAGACACTCTCTTAGTCGCTAGCTTTGCATCCATTTATCTCAGGGTCAGTCGGCAGCTAGCCAGAGACCCAGGGCACCTCGCGTTCTGGCCTTTACAAAGGACACACCCAGGCCCTGCTCAGCGGGACAGCTCTTCCGAATGCGCATGCTGTGTCTCATGTAGGGATCAGTCTTCTAATCCCCACCATAAGACTCATCATGAAATGTGCTAGCCCAGAACGACAATCCACCCAAGGCTTTGACTACAGAGCATCACCCTGGGACGCCAGGAACCTGTTCCTCCAGCATTCAGGGAAATTCCACAAGAGCATGAGTGCCACCTTGTGGGGCATCCAGGATTGTTAGGATGTTCCACGAGGTGTCCCTAACACCCACTGGGCCTTGCGTGTCTCTGGACACTAGGAATAACTGACGGTCCCCGAGCATACTCCCATGGGGAACACACACTGGCCTCCCCTTGTCACTCTGCAGACAGAATGGGCCCATCAGCAACCAGGGGTCCTCTCTCCTGTACAGGCATCTGCGGTGCTTTTGGTGGGTCAGGTACCCTAGCAAGGCACTTCCCCTCCGTCAGTGGTCAGTGTCCTCTCTCAGCCACTGGCTGACATCCGGACCCATCAGCCACACAGCTTGGGGACCTTGATACTTGCCATCAGACGATCAGTTTGTAAACAGATAAGAACTGCTGTTGAAAGAAGCCCAGGTTAATGGGGAGGGCCCAGGACAAGTAGAATCCAAGGCCAGCGCGGGGGCAAGTGCTAGGACTAGAGCCCACCCTGCCATTTGTGCAGCTCACCAGTATAGCAGCAAACTCACTGTACGACAGGCAGCGCTCGCCAAGCAAGCGCTCGCTCCAGGAACTGCTGGATTCCAAACTCGGGTGCAAAACTTCAAAATACATTTCTTTAGGAGGAAACTCAATTTGTATAAACTTGGCCAGATTGGGACGGTCCCACGCTTCCCATGGGCAAAGGGCCATTTCACAGAAAGTGAGATTCCTGGGTGGGAGAAGAGTCCAGAATAAAACAATGGTGACTCTTGTTACACGAGGCGCAGCTCCTGTGGACAACTGCTCCGGCTGAGCTCAGTGACGAGTGAGTCACCCTGGTGCAGAGGGTTAGCGCACGGCCTGTGCACTGCTTCCCTCCCACCTAAACTTATGCCACTTCAGCGCTGCCCATGCCCCGGGCTTGCCCTCTGCCCAGCAGTGAATGCCACCCAATAGCAAACTGCAGACAAAAAGGCAGCATGTGTGCAGAGGAGCGGGAGAGCGCTGGGGCGGAGGGGGTGTCACTCCAGGTAAGAGACTAAACTGGCAGCTGGAATGACCCATTCTGGGTGATGAATCAAAGCATGTCTCTTCGCACGCGGTGTTTTGCCACTTGCCCCTGGAGAACGAGGAGAGACACTGTGCTGCAGTGACTGCTCTCTGGAGTGAGCCTGTGGAGTGCTCGGCATTGGCTGACACCAGCAGAAGGGGAGAGGCTGTGACTCTATGGAGCACTGGACTGGTTCACGTCCATCCTTGGGTGGAGTGTTGCTCTGACTTGTCACAGATCGTGGCCCCCTTGGGGTGGATCTTCAGACGCACTCAGTGCTGGCCTGGTTCTGCTCCCACGGACGTCAGGAGGAGTTTTCCCACTGACTTCACGGGCACAGAGAAAGGCCAGCACTGAGCACTGACCAAATTCCCACCCTGGGGGATTTCGTTATTTATTATCTAACGTGTGGTCATGCCCAACATCCCAGCTCTGTCCAGACCTCATTGTGCTGGGCGCCGTACAAACCCAGAAGATGGAGACTGTCCCTGCCCCCGTGAGCTACAACCATATAACAGCGCCTGCAGAAGCTTGCTGCTTGTCACTAGCAAAGCATTGGGAGAGAGTCCAGGCTGGGGAGAGTTCAGGAGGCACAGGGCTCCCACGGTCCCAGGCTGCATCCCGGGGATCCCGTCACAGTGGCACTGTGAGCAGGATGAATTGCACAGCTTGTTGTACTGAGCAAGATTTGCACTTCATACACTGGTGTAAAGATTTTAAGTGTGGTAGCTAAGGAGAGTCAGGAGGAGGCTATCGGTTTGTTATTTTCTGTTTGCTTATTTCGGGAAATGGAAGTAGGGACAGAAAAGCAGGGAAATGACTGAAAGCAGTGAAGTCTTTGCAAAGTAGGAGCTTTTTAGACTGTAGGTTGCAGAAAAAGAGAGCGAACACCAGAGAGTCTTAGCACTAAAGAAACTGGCCATGGAGGAGAAGGAATGCAAGTGGGAGGAAAGAGAGAGAGAGAGAAAACGTGAACTGGACCTGCTAGAAAAGCAGAACCAGAAACCAACAACCCCAACCATTCCCATCACTACAAAAATTCACAATTGGGACCACCTATGGGCTGCATACAACAAGACCAGCTCCTGCACTGCAGCTGGAGGCAAGACCATATCAGGAAGAGATGGTGATGTAATGCCTGCCCGGGAGTGAATTGTCCAGGTTGTTAGCTGCCAGCAAGTGGCAGCTGAACCAGAGACAGGAGCATAAAGAAATGTGTCCCAGAGGAGAGCCCAGAGAAGGGGGAGGGGATCTCAGAAACCACTGAGGTGGTGAGGATTCTTGTGACTCTGTAACACAGGGAAGCAGGGTGCTTCCAAGTATGGGAGGGGCTGAGACTAGCTCCTTTCCTGCAGAAGGCAACATGCCCTCAGGCGCAGGGGCAGGAGCGGTGTTGCCAGTAATTAAGGAAACTGCCTCAGTTGGTAGCTGGCAGAGTTTTGCAGCTGAACAAGGGATGGATCCCTTCTCGGGGAGCACAGAGAAATGTGTCTTGGAGGGGAATCCAGAGGAGGAAACTGGGGAAGGAACAGTGGGAGTACAGGAATATCTCCTCATTGGTCACTTGGGAGAGGATGCTCAGGACCGAATGGCTGAGTCAGCATCTGATCAGTCTGTGACCCAGGTTTTGAGAAGGAACTGTGTAACTGACCTCCTGGAGGGGAGCAGTCACACAGCTGACTTCTCAGGGACAGAGAAAGGGGTGGCGGAGGGTACCCCAATCCAGGTCCCAGTTTTTCAGAATGCTATTTCTGAAAAGTTTTTGGAAAGTAACTGTGTCTCTTTAAATCAAGATGCAGCTCCAAGGCCTGTGATAACAGAGGAGTTGAGACCAGGAAATTGCCAGGTGGTAGTTTGTGAGAATGCCAATGGCCCAACTGACAGAGAAGGAGGTGAGACACAGAAAGCAGCTGTGGAAAAGGTGAATCTGATCGAAGGGTAAACACACCAAGCCCAGAGAGCACAGATCACAGCCCTCTAGGGGGCAGGGAAGGATTCAGTGGTGGGAGGGGGAAACACAGGGTAACCCCAAAAGGGGAGCTGGATTTTTTCCATATGTACACTCCTGGGGTTGGGAGACCGCTCCCCAAAGGGCCAACCAATGTGCAGGATCTCCCTAAATCCCTATCTTGCCAGACCCTGAGGTACCAAAATCCCAGAAACATGATGAAAATAAGAACCCAGGCAGAGGGGAACACTGGGGGGAAAGAAAAGCCAGTGACTGATTACATGGGAGAGAGTCAAAGGACACCATGGGTGATGAACA